GAATTCCATATTCATCTGCTTTTAAGGCTAAAAGAAAAGTTGCATAAATGCTGCCAAAGATTTAGAACTGCACTATGGTCAATTCTCTGAAGCATTATACATTTCGGTTTCCACATACCATAGAATAGATACGCATCGCATAAATAAAACTGACCAAAAGAAAACTGTATATGTTCTTACACAATCAAACCCAGGATGATTACCCAGTGACATTCTCCGAATGCTATTCAACCACAGAAGAAAGCATGGAACCTGCAGATGAATTATAAGACAGGGAAACATTGTTAATTATTGAAAAAAAAACTATCTAATATTTAGCAAAAACACAATATTCTTTGTTTTAGTGAAAAGACCAAGACATCTTTTTCTCACAACCATAACCAACACTTTTCTTGAGAAACTCTTAGCACTCGTAGTTTCACCAAAGCCTTCAAACTGACTATATTAGTCATCAAGGTTGTTAACTCTCGCCAACCTTGAAAATTCATCACTCAACTGTGTCCTTTATCGTCTTGTAGCTCATTTATTTCACATGTATGAGGAGTCCAATATACAAGTAAACATTATAGTCATCAAAATAAATCAAAGATATGTGCAAGATATACATGACAGATTAAACGATTTCTAATCAATTATTATTGAACCATCCTATGTATTTAAAACAAGATTAAAATCAGGGCAGCCTAATGAAAAAAAATATAAATAAATAAATAAATAAAGGTTCACATCAATCATCCAGCAATAGAAATTTTCTCTCTTTCCCTTAAATCCAAACATCATATAAGAAAATTACCTGGACAGAGAAGGATGCAAGGAACCATAACAATGAGGGGCAGCCGATTGCACTTCTTTCCTTCCGAAATAGAGAAATCTGATCAATAAAACTCTTTCCTGAGAAGGGTGGTGGCAGTGGAGGGGGCACTATGAGAAATTCATATGAGTCAAACAAAATTTAATAAATATAAAAATAAACAAATAAATATATGGCTACGTTAAAGGGAAAAAAATTAAAGAACGAAAGGACTTAATTGTAGGAAAAAGAACAACAATAAAGTACAAATAGTTGCTTCAAAATCTATTCGTAAAGTGAAAATACAAAAGTAAAAATAACAGTTGCTAGTTAGTAGTTATATTATTTTTGTGCCAAACAAAATACAGAACGCTCAGGTTTAACCAAATGCTAATGCACACACTGTGGTCGGATAAAAGCAATGCAAGAACAGTTCGTACGGGTAAAAGTGAAATTGGCCTGGAGGGAATAACAAAGTAGAACAATCAAACAAGCGAATTGAATTGGAAGTCTAAAACTCACATTTGGGAAGTAACTCTCCAATTCTTTTCAATTTTTGCAGTTGCACGATGAGTAAGGGGAGCAATGAAAGTCTCATAGCCAAAGTTGAGGACGCAATAACTATCCACCTGTTAATAATTTAAAATCACAGAAAATGAATTACAAAATATAAAAAAGAGCATACAAATCCAAACACTTAAAAAAATAATATATATATATATATATATACTAAAAATTTCACATTTCGGCCGCAGTTTCAAAATAAAGCATAAATCAATCAACACCCACCATGGCAAACGAGTGAGATCATGAAACCCATCAAGCACCGAAATTAGAGCTCGAACGGGAAGCAGATACTCTTCACCAGCGCAACCACCTAAATTCAAAAGCTCCGACTGAGCCGCTGAGTCGGCGCCGGAGACGCCGAGTTGAACGAAATCGGAGTCATCTGAAGAGCTACTGGAGAGAAATCGAGAGTGAGAGAAAGTGAGAGTTTGAGGAAACGCGTAGGAGTTCCAGGGGGGTTGAGGTGAGAGAAGGTTAGAGTTAGGGTTAGGGTTTGTGAGGTAATGGAATTGACGGGCGTGAGAGAGAGCGGGGAGGAAGTTGAAGGCGGATGGGCGAAGACGACGGATGTGGGACGAGAGTTTGGAGGTTGCCATTACTGGGGATGATGCTGAAGGAGGAGGAGGAGGTGCTTCAAGGTTTTAGGCTTTTCCTTTTTGTTGTGGGAAGATTTGGCCCAAAATGCTCAACTTGGGGAAGCTATTTTGGCCCAAGCTTAAGCCAGGGCTGGTTCTTTAAATAAAAAAATAAAAGTGGCAGCGGTCACACAAATGGTCAATTGGCTAACCAGTATGAAGCTGCCACGTGGTATAAAAATTTGGCTAAGTAGCTTTTGACGTGTTTTCATAAAATCCCCTCCATTTTAAAATTTCACTCCTCCTCAGACTAGCTGGAATTTAATTGCTTTGTGCAAAAACTATGATCAAAATTGAAAACAATGATAAGAAATACTTTTGTTTGTTTAATTAGATATGTATCTTCTTTTTTTGTTTTGGTGTTTCATGGTATGAGATGAGAAGTCTAGAAAGTTGTAAAGAGGTTTTGGAGTGGAAACCTCCAAATTCTTCCTTAATCCCCATTTTCTTAGTTTTCTTGATTTGTAATAAGATGGAACTTGGAAGGACAGTTTGATGATCAAATTTAGACTCATCATCAAGTTAATGGATGTACAAATAACTAGAAATTTGGACCTAAAGTGCAACCTAAAACTTTGTGAATTTAATCAACATGTGTGATGAGCTGATATAGCCCCTTGGTTAGGCCTGGCCTGCATATTTTGATCAATCTCAATCATGGTGATGGATGATGGAGATTGAAGATTGGAGATTCTCAATAATGCATGTCAAGTTCATGAACCTCATCTGGGATATACCTCCCCCAGAACCAGTGTTCCCTGAACACACTGTCAATGTCTTCGATCCGAACGTTCTTGGTCTCAGGCAGGAAGTAGTATATGAAGATGGTCATGAGCGCCACAAATCCAGCGAAAAGAAAGAAGAGCCCAAACTTGAGGTGGCAAAACATAGCGAGGGAAGACTGAGCAATCCCAAATGTGAACAACATGTTTATAGACACATTCAGGGCTTGCCCTGCTGATCTCACCTCCAGTGGACACATCTCACTTGGTATTAACCATCCCAATGGCCCCCAAGACCATGCAAATGCTGCTACATAGAAGCAAATTAAGATCAGCAGAAAATCAGCCTCGCTTTGCGTCAAGTTCCCTTGGCCAGACACTCCGAACTTTATCGCTACCATGGTTGCCACTGCCACCTGACATACAAACATTTGAACACCGCCTTGTAGGAACAGAGGCCTCCTCCCAAAAGTGTCCACCCCCGCCACAGAAACACAAGTAGCAACCACATTGACAACTCCGGTTATAGCTGATGACACAAGCGAAGCCTTGTGGCCGAAGCCTAATGCCTTGTAGAGGACTGGTGCATAGAATGTGATGGCATTAATGCCAGTGAGCTGCTGGAAAACTGGAACCAGGACGCATATGACAAGGTGAGGCCTATATCTGGGATGCAGCAGGAGCTGTTTCCATGGAGAATCTACTTTTTTTGCAGCCTCGGATGCATAAACAAGGGCTTGGAACTCCTCCTCCACATTTTTTGTGCCGCGAATTTTCTGTAACATCTTCTTTACCTTATCAGCTGGTTGGCCTCTGTCAAGCATAGAATTGGGAGTGTCTGGTAGGAAGAGAGACCCAACAAGAAGCATGACTGCTGGGATAACTGCTAGAGCTAAAGAGAGTCTCCATCCCCATCCGCCCTTTATTTGGCCAGTGCCATAGTTGACAAAATTTGCCAGCAATATCCCAATCGTCACATTCATTTGGAACCCGAAGTTGAGAGCTCCTCTGATATATGCCGGTGCCATTTCTGACAAATAGATTAGGCTAGACTGAATGGCAAAACCAATGCCTATACCGAGCAATATGCGGCCTACGATCAGCATGGGTATGTTCAATGCAGCAGCGGTTAGGATGGCTCCGATCAAGTACATAAAACTGGCAATGCGCATGGACATGTTTCGACCACAGGCCCTGGTAACTGTAGAAGCAACCAAGGAGGCTACCAATGCTGCAAGGTAAAGAGAGGAGGTAAACATTACCATTGGCTGGCGATCTTCTGATTTGCAGTAAATGTTTTCATGATCCCCTTCATCGTTGTGTTTCAGTAATGCAGACGGAAGAAACTTCTTCAGGAACAGTTCCCTTGAAAGCACCCCTCCTGCAATACAATTACCATTTCACAAGTTTTGGTTACCATTATATTCAACATCTTGGTATGTAATATACAAAAACCCAGGAATTTTTTTTGTTAAACGTTGAGAAGAACTTGCTCCTCCCAGTTTGAGGGGTAAAAAGAAGAAGAAAGAAAAAAGAAATTACATGGTTGATAAGAGCTTGAGCTCAACCTGAGTCATAACCAAAGATGAGGCCACCCAAGGAAGCAATCACACAATTCGCCAACACAAGGTTGGTGATGTTACCGTCATTTTGCCTCTCCCCACGTACAACCACAACAACCCCTCTTGGCATCTTTCTTTCAACAGTCTGTTTTATTTATTTCTTTTCCTTTTCTTTCTTTTAACAAAATGGTGGGCAATAAACCGAACTTTTGCCGTGAATGTGAGGGTAGGTACTCATAAGCATAAGCAGCCCCCACAACAATCAAAGAGAGGTAATTAACTTTCTTAGCCAAGACTCATTGAACAATCTAAGAAAGTTAATTACCACTTTCCTCAAGCTTGGATCTTTCAAAGTATGGATTATACTTCGATTAACCCTTAACATCCACCCAAGAAATGAAACCAGGAGAGACACAGAGCTCCTTGTTTCTCTTGCTAATTCAGTTTGGTTCCTCATTCTTTGGGATACCTGATCCCACAACACATTTCTCTTAAAATAGCCCTCAACTTGCAAAAATGGTGCGTCTCCATTCGGGGTTTTGGCCCTTTTTTAATTTTTACCGCATGTACTTGTAGCTAAATATAGTTAAATCTCCTCTCCTTTAGCTGGTTCAGTACATAATATTTTCAATCTCCTCATCATTTTTATTATAAATGGAAAACAAGATTTGTAAAAGGAACAAGTTTCTTTCTCATACTAAACAAAACAGTGGCGGCACTCAAATTAAAGTAAATATATACTTTACTCAATACGATATAAAGAATATTTGTAACATTTTAAAAAGGAGTCGTTGGTCAAACAAATTAAGAGACTCCGTTGTATGCAAACAAACTCATCCTCAAAGCTTCAAGCATCTTCCACCTTTGCAGCTTTCCCCTAGATGTTACAATTGTTATTTGTGTAGGTGTACAAAGCATTGGCCAAAACAGTACATAACTTATACCTAACCATGATCTACAACACACGACTGATAATTTCCAACAGATCACGTGTTCCATTACATCTCTATGTCGTCTAGGTCTGGTAGAGGGAAACGAAGGATTGCAGCAATCCCAGTTATTTGTGCCAGTTCTGTTCATTGATAAGATAATTAGAAAGTTGGTTCAGGAAAGTATGTATAAAAAGTGTCAGATACTTAAAGCAGCATTTGTATGAACAATGTAAACACTCACGTTCTCCTGAAACATGCAAAGAAGAAAAAATATGAACAGTGCCCCCTGAATCCTTCACTGATTTCACCAAATTGGCATACTTTTGCCTTGCTACTACATCCGCATTCCTGTCCATCAAGAAAATGTTAATGTTACACCCCTTTAAAATTACATACATTTCTCCACATTTTCCTGTAATGGAAAGACCGTGTTGGTCCATTTCATTATTAGTAAAGAATCAATATGGTAAAGGAAACCAGAGAGGCAGGCACCAGGACATCTTAAATTTACTCATTAATGGAATTATGACAAGATGTATGTGCATGAGTGTGAACATAACCACAAAGCTTTAACAGTCATCTGTGCATGAGTAACTTATTTAGAGAGTGCACGAGTACCTAATCAACTAGAACTGCTAGCGTGTATGAATGTGCCAGTAAACCTCGGCACGTTAGGTTTCAGGTTAAGGAGTAACAAATCTCCCAGACCACGCCGTTTCCAAGCAAAAACAACATCCGCCAAGCCATCAAGCAAATTAGCATCTTTTGAATCTAAAGCTAATAATAGATTTATGCAGCAGTTTTTGTACCAAGTCCAAAACTTTTTCCCTCCCCCGAAAAGTAAAATAAAACACAAAAGAATTGAAGGAAATGCAATGTAAATAACTGTGTTGATTTCAGAAAACATGCTTTGAACATCCATGTAATATAGAACTTTATAATAAAAAATAAAATCATATGGCACTACTTCTCAATTAGCTGGACAGAAGACTCATAAACTAACCTGAAGAGTTCATCTGTTATCAAAAGGGTTTGGATAGCCATTCGTTCATGAGCAACTTCAACATGCTTTGGTCCATAGCATGCACGATCTGGATCCTGCAGAATAACAACAACAATTCAATCTCTATATTAAATGCTTGACAATGTTGGAAAACGAAAAGATAACACAACTACAATAAATAATATAAAGAATACTTCCGACAAGTAAAAACTACAGAGATTTATCCATTACACAAACTATCAGACACACATAAATTGACTTTTGGGTTGGAGGGTGTAACCACTGGATTGAAGTTTCCTTGTTGCTCATTTGTGGCTGTTACTCTCCATTCTAATGTTAGTCTTCTTTATAATGACCATGTTAACATGTTCAAATCTTTTTCTGTATCTACCTACCTATACATGAATCCCTTTAGCAAAGACCTTGTTTTAAGTGATGTCTGCCAGTAACAAGATATCATGGAATCAATCAAATTTCATTGGTCGTAAAGAGGTAAATCCCACGTTTCTTTCAGTCTTCACCTAATTATTGACTTTGTGCACATGCTTATCAAGATTAAACCTCCAATCATTGTTCCAAAGGATCGTCAGTTAGCATCCAATTATAACCTTAAAAATAAAGCCACAAAATCGACATTTCTGATTTAGAACCTGACATTTGAAAGCATGCCGAAGAAATCTTGGAGAACTCGGACCTGAAAAAGAAAGGGCCCAGTACATAATGTAACTGTATACCAATAGTGATCACCACATGCAATCATATCAGTGTTGTTGAACAACCAACAGACAGAGAAGATGCATAAGTTCTTATTTTCTTTTCATTATTATTTGATGTATGACATGTAGGATGGATGGACCTGTACAGTTCTTCTTCAAAACAAAGCGGGAAATAAGTTTCTTTCTTTTACTTTTTTATTTTGGCAATGAAAAGTGAAGAAGTTGCAAAATTAACCAAATTAGGTATTGTACCTCTTGTGCTGCTTGAGTATCTTTAATCATATTCATAACATTTGGAGCATCCAGAACCTCCCTCAAACTATGCCTGTCATTGCAAGAAGATAAAATGCACAGATGTGAATAAGATTCAAAACAATAGAAGAACAATGCAGCATAGGTCAGCAACAATATTAAATAAGAATTGCTTTTTTCTTTTTCCTCTTTCTGAGAAAATAAGGATCACAAGTACTGGATTTATGAATTGATAAAGCCCCAGTTACTCTTTAAGAAAGTGATACACATGATATGTTGCCAGCTCATGCTGGGGATCGCTCACTAAAAAAGTAAACACCAATTGCAGCGATAAAAATCATGAAACACATTAATCCGTAGTCGCTAGACTAACATGAAATGCAGACCACTCCAACAATGTGATCCAGTGGAAAATGAAAATGATAAAAGGGTAAAATCCGGAACATTTTACAGAACAATAAAGAAGTATTATTGACTTAAACCATTCTCAGGCTTGTCGAGGGCAATGCAGCATTGTCGATTTTAGTTATGGACAGGGAATTATGAAAGGTCAATTTTCCATCAGAAATATCAAGAGATTGATACTATAAATAACACATGACCATACTTGTAACCCGAGCTTGTATGCACAAGAATTATCCGTGACTTGTTTTCAATAATAGATCTCAGCTGTCTTCTTTCTGCCTCCAACAATAGGTGACGATGAAACTGATCCTGAAGCACATGACATTACATCATTAGTATTTCATAAGAAAGCACTATTTGTAGTGCTAGTATATAGTCCACAAGTAAAATAACTTTTAATGGGATTTTCATTCACACTAAAACTGAGTTTTAAAATAAAATAAAAACTCATACGGACTCATATCACACCTTTGTGAAACCTGGACTTGCAATCACAGCACAGCGGACAACACTGAAATCAACATGCTTCAAGAAAGCCTGCAAGATATAGACACCTGTTACAATACAGGCAAGCTATGTTTGAAAGTGTAAGGAGCTTCAGAAATAAAACTCAACTAGAAATACCTGTAATACATTCTCAAAGAACTTACTCAAAGCCTGTAGAAGACACAAAGATATTAGTGATACAATATTTATTGAAATTATCAGAACATCTGTCTTACCGGATAACTTCATTTCGGGAAATATAAATTCTGAAAAGAAAAAGAAGCGTACCGACTCATAACCTGCAATGGCAGGTCCATGCTTGCGAGGAATTGAAGTTTCTATCCGTGAGCGAGTAATTGTCATACTGATATAATTAGTTGCAAAAACATTAGTTGCATAAGGCCGTCAATGCAGGAGCATAGTAAGTAATATAGGATAACAGTGTACAAATGCATGATCTGGATTTTGAGCTTTTTATGACTGAGATTTTCACATTTTCGTAAAGACATTGACCAGTCTGTGATGCAGTTTCCTAGCGCACATTTCAAGGATATTACCAAGATCCTAATGCAAATAACTACCAGAAGAATAGGCGTGAATGAAAACTAGAGTGAGTAATGTGCCTAATTATTCAAGTAGTTATCAAAATAGGCTTGAAATTGTCCATGGAGACCATCAACTGATAGTGTAGTACAAAACTCAAACAAGGAATCATGTCCCGAATGAAGTCAGACACACCTTTTACCAACAAGGAGAACATGTGCTAATCCTTCTTGCATTAAGATCACAGCTAGATCAGCACTTGCAGCAGGATCTGAAAATTGTAGAGACAAGATCATCACATAAAAGGTTGATTTCAAATTCTTCAGCGTTCATACTTAACCTAGATGACACTTCCAAGCTTAAGCACTTCTAAATTGCCATTTATGTGACAACAAATTTTGGAATCAAGTTAGTTTTTCTTATCAATCCTACCATGTTAAACAATACTTATTCTTTCTTTTTTTGGCCACAACTTAGGAATGCACCCAGTAGAGATTGGACCCTAAACATCAACCCCCATCCCTAATAACCTAGCATAGGGCTAGAGTCAATAATGAAGACAGCCATGAGACAATTTTTAAGACTAATTGGTCAATACCACAAGAAAAAGGAGTACTACTAATTTAAAAATCTAAAAGAATCATTTAAAAGAGAAAAGGGGGAAAAAGAGGGCATACCAGAGGCTTGATTGAGTTCGTGCAAGGCCAATGAGTCCCAGACATCCTAAAACATATGACATAGCATGCCACAATTCAACACATTGCATAACAGATTTTATAGAGCATAGTATTCAAAGAATTCAACACCGAAAAAGAAAATATGGCATGTTATAATTTGTACGGATTAACGAAAAGCATGCCTTTCTTAACACAAAAGGTCGCTGCAGCTCAAGTTCCAAAGTGTGAAATGCTCCTATCTACAATAAGAAGATGAAAAACTTAAAGAAGAACTTCAAAATTTCCAAATCATCTGTTTATAATTCAACTTAAGGCCACAATTACCTTTACATATTCATTCTCCAGGATATTCTTTCCACGTATACGCAAGACAGCTCCTACTTTGTCATAATCAGCAACCTAATAGGAATATGGGGAAGAAGAACATAATACCGAACAAAAAGCATCTTGAGAAAACTTCGTTACACACACATGCACAACCAACCCTTATGAAATTGGAGCTAACTTTTCTCCATTACCTCCTCAACTTTTATCTCTAACTTCAGTTTCACACGCTCTGCATCTCTTCCACCAGAAGCACTTTCTCTCAGAACTTTCCTATTACAGAATGTATATGGTTGTCAAGAAAATTTCTACTGGATACATGTTATTTTATTCAAACAGGTTTCTGAGCACGAGTTATGTAAAAAAGAATATCATTCAAGCAATCAGGATACCGCAAATATACACTACGAAATATAGAAAGATACCACTCACATAGATTGCAAAGTGATACTAAAAGAAAAAGGACTTTACCTAACAGTGACAGCCATAACTATGTCTCCTGGAGCAATCAAATTATAAGCATACCATAGATCATCGGAATCGACCGGTATCATCTGCCACATCCACCAATTCCAAAGTTACCCAAAATTCAACTCAGAATTAAAGATTAACACTAGTTGTTTCCACACAAAAATGCTTACACCCAAACCAACAAAAACTAACTAACAATTACAATAATCATCATAATAATAGTAACAGCACCTTAACGCTGCCGGGTCCGCCTGGAACGAGGTCCTTGCGAACAATCTTCATGTTCTCGTTCTATCAAAGTACTTCTCCAAATCAATTCGAAACACAAAAAGAATTTTGAGTTTTTGCGTCTTCCTTTCTTCCCGAGACGAGGGAAGAGCTTAGCAAGCTTTCGGCTTGAGTGGTGGTGCACGTGCAAAACACTAGCGTCTTTCCGAGAATTATATGGGCAATCGGGAAAGACTTGGTGGGCCCGGGCCTTGGAAATTTGGATAACAATGACCAGGCCCAAGTATTTATAAGTTATTTCATGGGTCGTTCAGCATGGGATTGGGTCGACCCGACCAAAAAAACCAATTTTTTATTTTTTTGATTTGCTTTTAGTTGTTTTCGGTCCTGTGTCCGGTGTGTTTACCACCCCATTTCATCGGAAAATAGAAAGACGAACAAGATCAAAAATGTCCCTCCAGTTTGTTTTATAAAAGATTCGGGGGGATGGCATAAACTTCATATTAGTTCAGAAATTACAATCGAAACATTTTCCATAATCAGAATTTAGTGCAAAAAGATTATAAGTAAATCCATAATTCCAGAAATACATGAACATAGAACAACATATGCCACTGAAAGTGTGAAACAAACTTAAATAATTGGATCAATCAATATCAGTTCACAAACAAAAACAGAACATGGAACAAAATCAAAATTGATCCGGAAGCTCTTAGCATAATCTAAGGATGTAGTTATACAGTGTTCAAAAGATAAAATCTAAGATAGATTCATAAGCTGCAAAACTATAATCTAAATGACACTCAATCTTCAAAAGAAACGACCTCCTCTGAAACGTCCAATATCTCTTCAACCTCAATATCTTTAGCCTCGTATTCCTCTTCTTCATCACTTGCTTCTCCTTCTCTGAGCTTTTGCCTCTCCAATTTGTCTTCTTCGTGCAACCGCTTCCACTCAGCCACCCATTTCTCCCACTCTTCCTTCAACATCCTCCTCTTCTCACGATCCTGCTCACTCAAAAACATTGACACATCCTGGTCCTCGGCCTCATACTTCTTGCTGTACTTTTTCAAGTTCTTTGCAATCTCCTCCTCTTTCTCAGGAGTCAGGAATGATGGTGGCCTTGGGCGCCATAAGAACTATAACAAATAAGAAGAAAACAGGTGTACCGCAAATGATTAGAACATCTACCTCCTTTTCTTTTCTTTTTGTTTGGGCTAAGCAGTTAAAACATGTAATTGAGATGGAAAGAATACATAACCAAAACAAATGCCTACTAATATCAATTACAAAACAGAAATTTTAAAAAAACTAGTCACCACAGGATGACATCTATTTCAATTGGAATTTATCTTTTGTCACAAAGGACAGTATGATGCACGTGGTACTTCCAAACTATCAACAAACTTCATCAAATACATATATATATATATATATAGTCACCTTCCATTGAGGGATCCCTCAAATAATTTTGTTTTTGTTGATGTAAGGATCTTGATTTAATACACATGATTAAAGGTTTTTAAACACCGAGTGAAATGTCCAAAACAAAGAGCCTGCAGATAAAATTTAGTGCATACTCTCAAATGGCATTACCTGAAAGAAATGATCCTTTAGTATCCTATAAAGTAGCTTGCCGTTGAAGGACCATATGTTGAAACCATTCTCCATCTCATGAACTGAAGTCACTGCAGTAGCAACATATCTGAAAGCAAAAGCTAACATGTCAAAATCAAGACAAGTACAATTATTTGCTAAATAGTAACATATCCAAAATTTTACCTTCCAGTAGGATCCCATTCAATATCAGTTGCCATAAAATGCTCGGCAGTAGCCATGGTTTCAAGCTCATCCACATTGTAAAACTCCAGCTGCCCATTGAAACCTTTCAATCCTGCGAGTATTATAAAGCGCCCTGAAGGTGACCAGAAAAGAGCATTTGCTTGCTTCCCTTTCAGAGTAGTGAGCTTTGAAACACGGCCTGTATTGTGACCACTACGCATGGAGTAGAAACTTACATCGGGCCTCGGGTTGTTATTTGAGCTTGTATTATCACAATGAATAACTGCAAACCTATGGCCTTTGGGCTCCCAAGCAAATGCAATGATCTTGTCATTCTTATTCTCAAGCTCCAAAACCTCGATGGGGATGTCTCGCTCTTTGATTCGGAAAAGCTCAAAGCCTGTGTATGTGCTTTTCTTTGTTTTTGTATACCGGTCAACTTTAACAGCAAGATACTCCCCGTTGCTTTGCCAGTACATTTTGCAATCACTGACACTGAAAAGATTCTTTTGCCTCAACTCCTCTTTATTGGGGATTTGAACAAGACTCACCTATTTGTATCAATGTGAAGCATTAGTTCATATAGTACAGTGAAATAATAAAAGGACAAAAATAAAATACCAAATCTAGGAAAACAGCCAGTCAAATGAAACAAGAATGCGCACCCTAGCAGGTTGGTTGCCACCACCCAATTCTGGAACAAATAGAGCAAGAATCGGATCAGTTGGCGACCAGCTGAAGTCCATGACATTTTCAACCTTCATGGACTTTTTGTCTACAAGTGAAAATGTTTCTGTTTCATAAACAGAGATAACATTTTTGCCCATTCTGGCAAAATACTTATCATCTTTTCCGCCAGCCCATCTGCAAATATTATAAATGATAAAGTTAAGCATGCCAAGTTACACTAAAAACACTCAAAATCACACCGTAGATTAGTGGCATAGAAAAATTACTTGAACACCGGCCAAGACACCCCAGCAACACCTCCAGTTCCTCCAATTGCAAAATCATCAGGAGTTCCTTTAAAATCTCTCATTACTTTTCCAGTTCTCACATCAAAAATGTTTATCACAACCCTCTATAAAATAACTTCACATTAGTAATGGGAGCAAGGCAAAAATAAATCACAAAAAGCAATAAATCACATTATCCAAAGAACTCACATTTGCATCACGGGGATTGCTTGGTTCATGGCTGCTGTAGGTCACCAAATATTTCTCACCAGGTGAGAAATCAATAAGTCTAACCTGCAGTTGACAGTTAGAGTTGAGGACCAAGATAGAAAAAGTACAACATACTAATTAAATTGGAAACCAAAAACCAAAAATAACCTGGGGATGAGCATAACGCATCAAACGATTAAAGGTAGAGGCACCTCCCCAAACAGCAGCACCCTGTCTGTGAATAGTCGCCAAATACGTCCCTAGAGGGGACCACTGCACAAAGCTTTCCGTCCAGAACTGTAACAGGAAACAGAGATGATCATTTACCCTAAACCCAAAATAATTATATAAGACAAAAGGTGACTGTTTTGAGGAAGAAATATATAATTTGAGATATGATATCCACTCACAGCACGCTTGTAAACAGGCTCAGGCTTCAAGTGCCGTGCATCATTCCACAAAACTTCAGTATCCGAACCAGCACGAATCACAAGCTGATCTCGGGCCTTTTCATCAGTAAGCCATTGTTGAAGATTCTCCTGTAAAGATGTCCCAAGTAGATAGCACAATAAATACCAGAGCCTAAAAATACCTAATTCACGATGTACAAAGAAGTGATGGATCAGAGCATAATTACCCCTGGCTTGTACGGATTACTTTCTGGAGGGGCCCATTGATCTGGAACTTTCATGAACCTATCAAAGTCGTCAAACATGTTGACAGCAAAAATATGTGATCTGTCCAATTTGTATCCATGAGTCTTCTCCTTGGCAAGCTCAGCTTCCTAAAATTACATTAACACATGGTCATATCTCAATTCAATTGTTCACATATTTAAACATAGTTTTGAACCCAAGTGATGGTTAATGGTTACACTTATGTATCAATTGGTGAAAATTCATTCGGAGCACAAAAGAACACATACATAGTTAATTTTTAAGAGACAAAGATACCTGAGGAGTATTATACTCGATGAAGCAATAGCCCAATGTTTTTTGGGTTTCGGGATCAAGTGGCATCCAAAACCCATCGTCCTTGATAAGACCAATCTGACTGTAAATTTTGCGAACGACATTTTCAAGCTTCTCGTACTTTTCTTTAGGAACCACCGGGAGGTTATCAACAACAATTATGTTGCCAAACCCTGAGTCCAGCTCCGAATTTTCCTCTTGGTATATATCCTCATCATCGCTACGCAACCATAAATAAATAAATTAATTAAATAATTAAAAATCGTCTAAAGCATGCTACATAGACAACACAGAGAAATTTGAATTCCATACAGCCAAATCTTGCTATAAAAAAATTTATGTGGCAGGGATAGGGTTTTAGGTTAGCCAGGGTTACCTGATAATGCCAAAATTTTCACCAGGAGGGAGACGAATGGAATCGAGGTCCAGCTGCGAGATGTCGATTCCGATTCGGGCCGCCGTCGCCTCTATGTCGTTCAACACCATGACGTCCCCCATGTTTTGTCTTCTCCTTGTTTAGAGAGATGCGTCACAGAGAAGCCAAAGATTGAGAGGGCGCAGTAGTTAGACGAAGGAGAAAGAGTGTGTTTTTAGGGTTTTGGTGAGTGTCTTCAGCTACCGTTTGTGTTGAGGATGAGTCTGTTTGGACCCCCTGTTATTTGCTTACCCTACTCGCCTTGGTCAGTTTCTCCTTATTGCAAAAGAACCAAACAAAACATGAAAAACACTACTCCTACTCGTACTCCTACTCCAAAACATATTAACGACTACCTGGGCCTAGAATTCTTGTGCAACCCAAGCCCAATCTCAGCCCAATAAAGGCCAAACTATCAGCCACGCAGTAATTTGTTGAAAAGCGAATTTTTATACGAATGATAGGGTAGAACCGGTACTAATTACTAAAATGTTCTCGTTGTTGGGTTAAAGTAGATGGAAAATTTGGAATTTTAAAAATTGTGTGAGGATATAATGGGTAAAAAAGATGAATTCCTAATGGGTTAGTTCTCCCGGAATTAGAATACTACCTCCCACCCAAGAAGTAAACGCATGAATCCTTCATAGGTGGAATTCAATTCCTGATGAAAATTACAATTCCTGATTAGTAAACACACCATAAATCTAATTTAAGTGGAAAGGACTTCAAATTTGAGTGCAAAGAACCAGACTCATTGAAGTGACCAACTGACCTAACCCTCGTATATTGTTTGCAAAATAATTTTAAATTCATCTACCATGACTTTTTATTGTAATTTTTAAATTAAATCAACAACCTATAACATATTTCCATTG